ATATATATATATATATATATATATATATATATATATATATATATATATATATATGATGGCAAACAACCTCACTCTCATTCGGTTCCGTATGATGCTAACGCTAGTGAGGCCTTCTCTGGTTCGCCACACCAAGTCCCGGATCTTAAGTTGCCACGCGTGATTAGTAGGTCCTTCTTATTATGTGGTTTACCCCTTCTGCTGTTCTTTGCACACTAATGAAAAATAGATAAACGAACTTTGCCTAGTGTGTGTTTACATTTCACTTCATAAAAAAATAATTTTCGTCTTCCGATTTTCGCTACTATTTTTAGGTTGAACGTTCAGTTGCCTTGATCAAATCACTCAGCAACGAACGCCAGCGTTGGGACAGTGGTGCTGAGACTTTCAAGGCTCAAATGTCTACAATCTTTGGAGATTGCCTGTTATCTGCCGCGTTCATGGCATATGGTGGTTATTACGATCAGCATTTGCGAGCTAGTTTGCTTGCAACTTGGTGCCAACACTTACAGACAGTGGATATTCGCTTCCGTAGTGATTTGGCTTTGGTGGAAGTGAGCAATGATTTTGCGAGTGATTTTACTTTACTCCTTACTTGCCAGCTTTGCATTAGTGCTTTCTAATGTTAACTGATATGTAAATCTTATCACAGTTTTTCCATTGTGATTTACTCAACTGATGTCATTGTGTCCCTTTACCTTTTCCCAGTATTTATCCAACCCAGATGAGCGACTCCGTTGGCAAGCAAATGAACTACCCAACGATGAGTTGTGTGTAGAAAACGCAATCATGCTTCGTCGTTTCAATCGATATCCATTAATTATTGATCCAAGTGGTCAGGCTACCGAGTTTATATTGAATGAATACAAAGCGAAAAAGATAATGAAGACGTCATTCTTGGACGACGCTTTCCGTAAGACATTGGAGTCGGCACTTCGGTTTGGTACACCTTTGCTGGTACAAGACGTCGAATCCTACGATCCTATTCTTAACCCCGTACTCAATCGTGAAGTTCGTCGTACTGGTGGCCGTACGCTGATCACTATCGGAGACCAGGATATTGATCTGTCACCGACGTTCCTAATCTTCTTGTCAACTCGTGATCCGTCGGTAAGGATTTAACTTAGCAGCATTTCGCACGTTTTAAAAACTTCAAAGAAAACATCATTCTGTTCACTGTAATTATTGACTAACGCAGATTTGTGTGATCTTTGGTGCATCGACTTCCAATTGTATGAGCCACTGCTTTCCAAACTTCAAAAGGTCAGTAGCTTCTATTACAAGTGCCCATTTTTCTCTATCATAAAATCATTAAGGGCCCTTGTTTTTGTTATGCATCTTCATCGCGTTCTGATGCACTAATTGTGCGTAGTCTCTTACGGTAGTAGTTTTATCCAAACTGTTACGATTTCTGTTTTCTTTTGAACTTTTTAGGTCGAGTTTCCTGCTGACGTATGTTCTCGCGTCACCTTCGTGAACTTCACGGTGACTCGTGGCAGTTTACAGACACAATGTCTGAACGCAGTTCTGAAGGCCGAACGACCGGATGTGGACGCTAAGCGTTCGGACTTACTGAAAATGCAAGGAGAATTCCAGCTTAGATTACGGCATTTGGAAAAGGACCTGTTGCAGTCACTAAACGAAGCCGAGGTAAGTCACTCGTCCAAAAACAAATAATCGGCACACTACTTTTGCTGCTGATCAATCTGATTGTTGGTGCGTTCAAGTGAACATCTTCACGTGGGTGGACAGGAAGGCTTTATTCAGCAGCAGCTGGTGAGAATAAATCGGATCAAATCAACGCGTGACAAGTATTTCCTCAATTCAATTTAATCGGTGGCTAAATAAGAAAACTGCTTGTGACCTAATATGGTAGTCTACACTAGCCATAGCCTCGCATTAATATTAAGTGTCTTCTAATGATTGTTTTTATTTCTATCCTTCACATCCGTTAACTTTCTGCATATTTATTATATATTTGCCACTCTTTCTTCTTACTAGGGTAATCTTTTGGATGATGATAAAATTATCACTCGTTTGGAGACCCTAAAACAAGAGGCTGGTGAGGTCGCAAAGAAGGTGGAGGAAACGGACGTGATCATGTCCGAGGTAGAGACTGTGTCGCAACAGTACGTGTCCCTCGCTCAATCCTGCTCAAATATCTACTTCACACTGGAGGCAATGAACCAGGTGCATTTCTTGTATCACTATTCATTGCAATTCTTGTTGGACGTGTTCTCCCATGTACTGTCGAAGAATCCGCATCTAAAGGATGTTCGTGACTATGCTCAGCGACTGAAGGTGATCACAAAGGACTTATTCCAGGTATGTTTTTCTATCCATCCCTTTCGATCGTGTTACATTTTCACTTATGCTAAATACGGTTTTGGTGTGACTGTTTTGTACCAGTGAAATGAAATACCCATGTTTCTTTGCTGTTGTCTTCGAATGAACGCTTTCCTCGGGGCCAGCTTTCTTAAGAGAATTTTGTTCGTTAAATGACTGTGCCCGTCTCACTTTTGCTTCTTCCCATAGGTCACCTATAACCGAGTTGCTCGTGGTATGTTACACAATGATCAAATCACATTCGCGGTCCTATTGGCACGTATTTTCATCAAGGGTCAGATCAGTGCGCAGTCTTCAGGATTGGAGTCAGAATTCAATTGTTTCCTAAGGAGTCAGGATACTTTATCCAAGGACACAGAAGGGCAGTCAACCGTGGAGGGCGATACAGACCTTGCTAATAAAGAACAACAGAGATGCGTGACCAGACTAAAATCTCAGTTTGAGCCGTTCAAGAAATTGGACACAATGATCGCACAGAAGCAAGCCGAGTTTAAATCGTGGCTATCAAGTGTTGCACCTGAAGTATGTTGATTTCATGTAACCCACTGCTACTATCCTTGACCATCTGTTCACATGAGTAATGTTCCCATTTTTCCTCTCGCCGCAATAGACGTGCGTCCCAACTCTATGGGAATGTCCCAAAACCGATGCGAACCAACCCAGTTGGTTCACAGCTACTCAGACATCAATGTACAATCTGTTATTGATCCAAGCATTCCGGCCGGATCGACTTTTGGCTTCAGCGCATCGGTTTGTTTCGGCCACTTTTGGAGAAACATTTATGGAGGAAGCAAGAGGACATTTGGATCTGTTGTCTATTGTAGAGCAAGAACTGCGTCCAAACATGCCGGTGCTACTTTGTGCCGTTCAGGTATGTAATCGAATTTACCTGATTGCATCTTCAGTTTATGATGCATTCATGCAATACTTTCTGAAATTCCCCCAAATGCCGTCTCTCCCCTTTAAACTCGTTTCACCCAGGGCTTTGATCCCAGCGGACGTGTCGAAGATTTAGCTTCGGAGCATCACAAGGCGCTCACGAATATCGCCATCGGTTCCGCCGAAGGTTTCTCTCAGGCCGACAAAGCGATAAATTCGGCTGCGAAGAACGGAAAATGGGTTCTTCTGAAGAACGTTCATTTGGCTCCTGGCTGGTTAGTGCAATTGGAGAAGAAATTACACAGTGTTCAACCACATCCAAACTTCCGTCTGTTCCTAACCATGGAGATCAATCCGAAATTGCCAGTGAATCTTTTGCGAGCTGGGCGAGTGTTCGTATTTGAACCGCCTCCAGGAATTAAGGTAATCAATTCATCAACCCCGTTTTCTTTGTTAAATATCATAACTATGCACCCCTCTTAATCAAATAAAGAGGAACTAGAATGAGGATCCGTTTCTTTCATTTATCTCACTTAAAGCTTGAGTAATCTATTGATATAGTAATCAGTGACTCGCATTCCGTTGTTTTTTTACTGTTCCCAGTATACCTGATTGTCGACGGTAGGTCCGCTGTTTCGCACTCTCGTTCGTCTCCTTTGAGTCTACACGACAGGACTCAGTGGTTAGTTAAAGGCTATGCGCAACTCATCATCATAAAGTTGCAAACATGAACTCTCACCATATGAAAGAGACCTAGGTGTTTTCACAGTTCATTCGGCTAATGTTTATAGGTGAAGCGGATTTTCTAGTTCGTTTTCATTCCCATAAGAAGCAAAATAAGGATGCCATCATCTCTACTTTTTCCAGTCTGCTTGCTTTTGCTGTCTATCTGTGTTGAACCACATCAGTACCGGAAAATTGGGGTTAGTTGACAATCCTGACAAGTTCTTACGTCAATTTTATTTCTCTGACCCACATGTTGGTTCGGCTAACCCCTGACGGTTTTGGAAACGTTCTACAATCATTCTACGCTCGGTAACCAAGATGCCAATCACTTCTTTCAGGTTTTTATCTTTTCTCACTGTTTTTTACTTTCCCCTATACGTAGGCAAGTCTGCTGCGCACTTTTGCTAACATCCCGTCCAATCGTATCTCGCGTGCACCGGCCGAACGCTCTCGATTGTACTTCCTCTTGGCCTGGTTCAATGCAGTTGTGCAAGAGCGATTACGTTACGTCCCATTGGGTTGGTCCAAGCGTTACGAGTTCACGGAATCCGACTTGAAGGTGGCCTGCGACACGATTGACACGTGGGTAGATAGCGCCGCTTTGGGACGATCCAATTTACCACCGGAAAAAGTTCCTTGGTCAGCTTTGCGTACGCTACTCGGACAGAGTATCTATGGTGGTAAAATTGACAATTCCTTTGATCAACGCCTTATGGAGACGTTCCTTTCGGTTTTGTTTACCGAAGCTAGCTTCGAGGTAAGCACATAAGTCATATATATATATATATATGCATCGGTTATCTCCATCTGTCGGTTCTACTTCTGTGACTGTTTATTGCTCTATTATCATTTCCAGCACGACTTTCCTTTGGTTCGTGATGTGGACGGACAAGCCGGAAAGAATATTGTGGTTCCCGAGGGGAATGCTCGCGATGAGCTGCTCGCATGGATTCACAAACTTCCAGATATTCAAACTCCATCGTGGCTTGGATTACCCAATAATGCTGAGAAAGTGTTATTAACAAACTTGGGTAGGTGATCCAAATTACATCTTTCTCCACATATACTTTGGTCGTACTTTTCGTCAAACTATCTGACTACCTTTACGTTTTGCAACCACTCAGCAATGTTCTTCGAACGAGACCTGCGTAAACTGATTGCCTTGGATTTAGAAGATGATGCCGATCATAAACAACTCGCCGGAGCTGGTTTGTCCGCTATATGTTCTATCTAACTGTATGCATCTGTGTACCTTTACGTTATTTTAGTTCCACTATCCTCTGATTGCAAATGGTTTCAGGTGGTATGGGGTTATATGGTTTTCCCAAAAAACCTTATCAGTCTTTTTAACAAAATATTCACATGCGTACTTATATTTATATGACTTTAGGTCACGAAATGACTGGAAATCTCCTTAAACTGCAAGAAGCTGTCACCGATGATGACTCCCTGGTTTCTGCTGGAGTTTTGGATCGTAAGAAGTCTTCTGTGGTAGCAGACAGTCGACCTGTCTGGATGAAGCAGCTTCAGTCCACGGCGAGCTCGTGGTTGTCACTGTTGCCACAGAGCTTGAAACGACTCACACGTACCACGGATAATTTGCGCGATCCACTTTACCGGTTCTTCGAACGGGAGGTTAACAGTGGCGCTAATTTGCTAATCACCGTGCGACAGGACCTGGAAACTGTGATTGCGGTATGTTGAATTACGGTCCCGTCGGTTTGAACTTACCTGATACCTCGCTTGTGTGCAATAGTACAAACATATATGGACGTAGGATCCCTCATGCAGTACCTGGTGTTGATAAAATCGAATAAACTAATCTGACACATTTATGCCGGGGCCAGAAGAATACAGTGCTCGTGGGTCCCCACTAAAGTAGGAACACCTGTCTGTTGCTTTTTGTCGGTTCTTGCAAACAAACTATAGGCATGAAATAGGTTGGTTAGATTTGTGGTTTTCATCGTCTGGTCTTTTTTTACCTAACATTGTGAACTAGACAGAGTGCGAGGAATGAACAAGAATATTTGTTATAGACCTTTTTAGCAATAACTTTCGTAAACTTTTTCTCCCATAACGCCCATCTCAAACCTCATGTTTCTAAAAGCCTAATACAGTAGTTGGGCTCATGTACGAAATAGTCACTTATACAGTTGGGTGCATTATAAAAACAGTGTGAGTTAGAAAAAATGCAGAGTTAGATATCGACAGCAGCTCCATCACTGTCAACCACTGAGCCATGTCCACTAATGCCCTTAGCCGTAGTACCTTACTCTCCTTAGTCCCCGACCAGTTTCACTTTGCACAACCACTAACCATGCACTTTCATGCGCTGGTTTTGGTTGCTGTCTTTGGCTGCCCATTTAGATGAACAGTAAGAGAAAAATAGGAAGGTTAAAGGCAGAGTCGAAGAGAAAAACGGGCATTTCAGTAGCTAATGGCATTCCGAGCTTCTTCATTCCTTTGACCCACGTCAGGCATTTCCCACCTGCTAACCTCCTCTAGTACTGTTCAGGACGAACGGATAGTGATCTGCATGGTACACTTATGGAGTATTTGTAGGACCTGAAGGAGCTAACACAAACTATTATACGGTACCATCGCACTGAGTGTTCGTCCGTGTTAAGTGGATCCGACAGTGCACCGCTTTGCACCGTAGCTACTGATTCGATGCTCCCACGGAACGCCGGCAACAACCGGTTTTTATGTTTGAACTTTTTGGATCTTTTTCTTTTGGTTTGGTCAGAGTGCTGAACGATCGAGGAGTTCAGTTCTGATCGTGCAGCTATAAACACCGCCTTCCGGAGATCTGCATTAAGAAGATGTACTAATACAGCTCATGTTTTGGTAGTTTGGCGCATCTTTCCGTCCTGTTTATCATTGTCAGAGATGTGACATCCTAAGTAAAGGAACATTCCTAGATTTCTAATAGTTCACAGAAGAGATTAGGCACCGGTACACGATGTATATCACCGGCTTGCAAACAAGCATGGTGTCAACGCAACAACAGAGTGAAATGCAAAGAAAAAGGTTACGGTGAATCAGAGGAACCAGGATAAAAGTTTCTTTGTCTCATCGTACACTTTGCTATTTGTGTGTGTGGTGCACAATGCAGCCACTCGAAAGCCATTGCTTTACACTTCCGGGGAGCAATACACATACCGACAAGGCGAACGGGATGGCTTTGCTTGCTCAGCAAGTCCTGCGCATCGGTTCGCAGTTTAATAATGGAATGGCACAATGTACTTAGCGTTCTCTTTTTCATGCATCCTCTCTCTTTTTAGTATTTTGATACCCTCCCTTACTGACCCGTGGGTAGCAGTCCTTAGGATTTGATCAGTTGCAAAGTTGAACGAAAAACTTGATAGGGCAACTTGAATCATTTATTGATGCAATCACCTGTTTGGATGGACCAACATACTGCTCACGGGCAGCTTAAGTACGTGATTTTGAGGTTTATCTACTTTCCGTACACTGAGATTCGGGTTAGAAAGCTGATCAACTTTTTTTGCCTAAAGAAATAATGCATGTGAATGGATGTTGATCATCTGCATTGGAGTCCTCCAACTATCTATCACACACCGTTTCATATCCACCTCTTTTCTGCATAGGTGACATATGCACCTTTTTGTGAACCTTTGCTGCAATATTATAATTTCATTTCCAATGTGTTGAACTTAGAGAACAAGCCTAGTTTGGATTGATTTTTGTCTGCATCAGCTTTTTGTGTATGACTAACCTAAACTTTTCAAGTTGAATTTATGTTTTGATAATTTGGTTCGTTATTCGCTCCCCGTACGCAATCACTTTTGATCGCTTCAGATTTGTTCCGGTGAGCGCAAACCAACGAATCGCCATCGTCTTCTCATGTCCGATCTCGTCAAAGGAATCATTCCAACTGACTGGCGGCGCTACACAGTACCCAAAGGAACAACTGTCATTCAGTGGATCACTGATTTTGCTATGCGAATCAAACAATTGATCACGGTCAGCCAGGCTGCTGGTTCTGGCGGAATAGCTGCATTGCAAGATATCCAGGTGCGTCCTGCAGTTGCATTGCATTTCTCTTTGAATTCTCCGCCATTGTCTCTCTGGAAAACTGTTGGTGTTTAAACATACCATGCATCCCAGTTATCACTGTTAGGGAACGCTGCGCACGTGACCTATAGCCAATAGTTCCACCAATCGCCTAAACCATTTCTACATGGGTCGTAGCGAACGTCTGTCAGATGTGGGAAAAGGTTGTCGTTTCTCTCCATACCGATCGCCGCAATTTGAATCTTAGATTCGACAGTAGTCTTGAATCATCTAGTGAAATCGTAATTTCTGTATGATTTCTCGTTTATTCGCCCAATTTTCAATGATAAGTAAGAAATTGAATTACAATAGCAATTGCGTGACCAAACGTCAACGGAGGAGCAATGCTTATCTACATTTTTTATCGTTCTACTATCCAAGGTGTGGCTCGGTGGCTTATTCATGCCGGAAGCCTACATCACGGCTACTCGACAGTTCGTGGCACAGTCAAATGGCTGGGCTCTGGAGGAGCTCTATTTGGATGTACAGTTGGTTCAAGTTAGTCCAGGGAAAAAGGTGGCCTCACCCGGTGGTGGTGCGTTCGTGGTACTGGATTTGAAACTGATGGGAGCAGAGCCTGTTGATGGTGCGACTCTGCGTTTGTCCGAGAAAATCTCAGTGGATCTTCCATTCACCATACTCAAGTGGATCAGGTTAGTTTGCCTTGCTCTATGTATATGTATCTTCATCTTGGTGCTACTGTCAGCTTTTCACCACTTCCATTTAAAATGTCATTAGGCGACTAACTGGGTAGTGGAAATACAGTAACTGAAGCCGGTACGTGAAAATTCAAGGACTGTGATTACAACGGAATGTTCACATGGTTCTTTTTAATAATACGGATTTACTACTCAAACTTCTACTGAATTTTTTATACGATCCCCTAGAAATTTGTCATTTAGTCAAAAGGTTCCATGAGCTGATTCAATATAGCTTGTATAAAACATCTTTGTAGGGATCGAGTTAATCGTTGTTCATCAAGCGTGCCCATTACATCACCGCTCTTTGTTGTGTTCTACTTTACGGTTGCAAGACCTGATCCCTCTGCGTTGAGGATGCAAATCGACTTTCTGTATTCAACCACTGATGTTTCCAGAGCTGGTGGAAACATCAAGAGGACAATATTGAGGTTCTTAGTGTGTTGGGTGTGGATAGTCGATCTCTGACAGAAGTAATCGCCCTACACCACTTCCGATGGCTTGGTCACGTATTGCGTATACCTTTCCATCGCCTACCTTTTTCTGTTTTCTTTGCCAGTGTTTGGCAAGGTTGCAAGAAGCGCCACCGCGGTCAGACCATGGCATGATGAAGAAGTTAGTTTCAGCTTTGGCTTTGGTTGGTGCAGCCCGCCTTCCCGGTTGGGGCTCAAAGGACGAGTATTGTTGTTGGTTAGGGACACCAATAGAAATCAGTTCTTCTTACTCACTTCAGGCATTTGTTTCTTTCCACTTTGGAATGGATTCTAGACGTTCACCATTATTTCTCGTTTTCCTTTTCTCACAGACTATCAACCGATGAACAAGCCAAACGTTATATAGAAAAAGAAGGTGTGATTCGTCTGCCGGTCTATATGAACGGGTCGCGATCTGCAGTTCTATTCACCCTACAGTTAGCTACCAAGGAAACCTATACTCGGTTCTATGAACGCGGCGTTGCTCTGTTGGCATCCCCGTTGGTTTGATCTCGTCCTCCTAGATGCGTCGCTTTGTTTTCACAGCTACATCTTCATTTGTGCTTTTATTTTCAGTCTCAGCTTAACTTGTCATGTCATTGGGGCTGAGAAATTCGCAGCCTTGTCCGTCCATACTTGCGCCCATCTGCTTTCTCTGCCCCTTTCATTCGCCAGAATAGGACCAAATTTGTCTGATGCCATTGCCTCACCCAGCTCAGAAAATGGACACTTCCATTAATTTCACATCTCGTTCACTAACGTTCTCGCCCCATTCGCTGTTCTTGCTGCTGCAGTTGTCCTTCTCCCTCCTCCCTGTATCTGGTCCCCTAATTTGGCAGACATATCCTTGACCAGCGAATTGTTGCTTGTCCCTTGCTGTTTTTCGTGACTATTTTGTCAGTCATGTGCCTCCTTATAAGCGCATGTCTCATCCTCCTACCATCCGCCTCCTGCAATGTTGTGGTATTCTGTATCATTTAATCACAACGAACTCTTTTACTTGCGCGCACTCGCGTTTGCACTGGTCATTGGAGTACAAAATCGGTATGGTACGAAGATGTTCTCATCTCTACTCAGTTTTCTCTCTCATTCCCTCTGCGGTATACGAGGGTATATTGTGGACAACGATTTATCTTGTTATTCTTACTCTTTCGCATCGAGAAATACAAGGTTCGTGTATCTTGCACTGTTCATTCTCTTTTGCTGTTATCTGCTTCCAGGTTGTGGCTTTTTCGCCTTTATCGAAGTCATACATGACTTATTTCCGAGATGCTGTTTTCCACGTTAGATCGATTAAGTTCTTGTGGCCAGTATCATTCCCGGAGTAAGGCATTTATTCAGGGCTTGCTTAAGGATACCTCATGAATGTTTGGCGTTAGTCTGCCACACGCGAACGATGCACACGTGAGAACCAGGCTGATTTTAGACCCGGTCGACCACATCTTCACTCTGCGCCAAATTCTGGAGCACCGGCATTCTTTTCGTAGACCCACCACCTCTCTTCACTCTGCGTCAAATTCTGGACGACCCACCATCTCTGTCTTCCTAGATCTGAAAGCGGCTTTCGACTCAGTCGACCGCTCTAGACTCTGGCGCTGCCCTTTTTCTGAAAGGTGTGCCCGAGAAGTTAATTTCAATATTACGATCGCTTTATACTCGTAGCCGAAGCCGAGTCCGTACTTACGGGTTCACTACGGAAATTGGTGTTCATCA